CCCTGGAGGCGGGACGCGGTACCAGCCCGCTGTGGCCACGCAGCTGTGCGCCCCGCGCTGCGGGCCGCGCGCTCACCTGAGGCGCTCCGCCGCAGACAGGTGCGCCGCAACACGTCCCCCCTGGGCGCTCAGGGCCAGCCTCCACCCCACGCTGAGCCCAGACCCACCTGGGGATGCACCACATCAGCTACACACAGACACACACACACACACTTAGAAATGAGCCCACACTTGGGGACCCAGACCCACCTGGGGATACACCACATCAACTACACACACACACACACACACACACACACACACGCGCGCGCGCGCGCGCTTAGCAATGAGCCCACACTTGGGGATGCATCCCATAGGACACATCGTTAAGGCCTCACACTGGAACACTGGAGCATCCACACTCACTCAGCCTGTAACTGGATACAGATAATCATATAGTCTTGATAATGCCAATATTACCAATTCTCCCTTTTGAAATAAAACTGTGGTTGTGGGAAGCAATGGAAGAAATGGCTTACCGTCTCTCCCCTGGCTCTTAGGACTTAAATTGAGTCCCAAAATTAGAGGAGTAGAGACCAAGGCTGAAGAAGAATTTTTCTCTAGATATATTTTGTTCATTCTGAGTTGAAGCAATGCTACTTTGGGGACTCGCGACAGGAGTGGCACAGAGATGGAGAGGACCACTTCTGTCCCCAACCACCCCCCAACCTCCAGACACAGATGTATGGTAGTTATTGAACTAGCAATAATCTCCCTTAATCACTTTCTGCCCCATCCATTTTCTCGTGCGTGTAGACTGGTTGAAATCTTGTTACAGTCTAGTTTTCCTCCAAGCATTCCCAATAATGCTGATGTGCTTGTGTTATGAACAGATGTACAATTCCAAAAATAAATAAAAGATCAGATTCATAAGCCATAATTTTCACAGAGTTCTTTCTTGTCTTGGGAAATTCATGATTAAATTGAAATATATAAGAAATTTTGTCTAGTATATATTTTTAAAGAGTAGCAATAATCACCTTAGTTTGTTCTAAGGGAAGAATAATTTTGTTTTTATATATTTGTTTATGAGGAAGGGAGATCCTATCAACAGGAAAGTGAGGCATATATATGAGTAAATAATTCCTCTGGGAAAGGAAAATTAAAGATGGTGACAAGGTGATCGTTAAGTTGCATTTACTGCCTGGCAAAGCTAGGAGAGTCTGATCCAACATAGACTAGACTCCGTGGGATGAAATCTTAAGTTTAACTGTCAAAAAAGAACTCATAGACTAATAGTTCAAAAGTAGTGGTTTTCAAGATGTGGCCCCAGACCAGTAGCTTCAGCTATTGAACATAGAAACACAAAACGTCAGGCTATACCCCAGACTTTCTGAATCAGCAACTCTGAGGGTAGAGCCTAGAGACGTGAATTTTAATGAGCGCTTTGGATGTACTTTCAAGTTTTAGAACCATGGTTTATTGAAGATTTGCTCCAGTTACTCTCAAACTGTATTGTCCATGTGAATCAACTGTAGATCTTGTTTTAAAAATGCAGATTCTAGCCCGGCTGGCGTGGCTCCGTGGTTGGATGTCAACCTATGAATCAGGAGTTCAGGGCACATGCCTGGGTTTCAGGCTCAACCCCCCAGTGGGGGGCATTCGGGAGGCGGCTGATCAGTGACTCTTATCATTGATGTTGCTCTCTCTCTCCCTTCTTCTCTCTGAAATCAAGAAAAACATTATTTTTTAAAAGGAGATTCTATATGTGAAATAATATTGAATGTAAACTGTAATTGAAAAATAAAATTTTAAAAATGTAGATTCTAGCTCAGGTAGTCTGGAGTAGGATCTAAATTCCACAGGATTTACTTGTGTCTGGGCACACACAAGGGCACGGTCACTGTAAACATGAATGCCCAGCAAAGGCAGGGGTGGAGACTACCCTCAAAAAGGCAAAAGGCACAGTTTCTCAAGAAAACTGGTCATTTTAGAAGAGTCCTTGGCTTATTGGTTGAGGATTGGTGGGTTATACAGGAGCCCTCTCGAGCCAAGTGCTCTGGTGGGGTTAGGAACTGATTTGATTCACTGAGGCTGTCAGGCTGCATCCAAATGGTGCAGGTAAGTCACTCACTCATAAGGGTTCTGCCCACTATCAGCTCTTTTCCTCCTCATTGTGGTCCATTGCTCTGCCATCTACAACCTCCCACTTCCTCCAGGCTCAGGATTCTGCAGCCAATAAATGCTAGGCCTGGGTAAAGCTCAACAAACATTTTCTTTATCAACTCAAATAATTTAAGCGGGCAAATAGTCTTTAACTGGAATTACCCAGTTTGGCAATGTTTGTTGTCTAAATCCGAGCAGGTAATTGCCAAGCTCTGTCTTCCAGACTTTGGTGTCATAAGGTAGATGCCTAATTTATATTTGACTAAGTGTAGGGTGGGGCAAAATTAGGTTTATAGTTGTGCGTACGTGTAACACAAAGCTTATTCTTGTATTATTAATTATTGTCTTACTTTCTATACAAACAACTGTAAACATACTATTGCCACACCTTGTACACTGCTACTTAGTATTATGCAAGAGCCCGGCCTCATCTTTTTGTTACCCCTAGCCCATGCCTTCAGCATCAAAAGCACTACCCAATAGATGGGAAAATATCTTCTGTCTCTTAAAACTATAACTATAATGTGAAATAAACAACAGAGCAAGGAGACTATATAAGGAGCTTGAGGTCTAACTAAATAACACTATAAAATATACTGAAATATTATCAAATTATTCTAGTAAATTCAACTTACCACGTTTTTGTACGGTCCTTGTGCTCAGAATGAGTTTTACATTTTTAAATGCTTGAAAATAAAAATTGAAAATACTTCATGACACATGCAAATTATGAGATTCAAATTTCAGTGTCCATAAATGTTTTACTGAAAACACAGTAACGCTCATTCATTTATGTATTGTCTATGGTTTCCACAGAGACCACGAGGCCCACAAAGCCTAAAATATTTACCATTTGCCTTTTTACAGAAAATTTGTTTACCCTACCCTATACTCTTTTGCTCCAGCCTCTGTTATAATCCCTACCTCCCCATTGTGTAATAATTGATTTATATGACTACTTACTGGACTGAATTTCATGAGAGCAGACATATATATATTTTAATAGGTCTATTGATTTCAGAGAGGGGGAGAGGGAGAGAGAGAAATGTCAGTGATGAGTCATTGATTGGCTGCCTCCTGCACGCCCCCTACTGGGGATCGAGCCTGCAACCCAGGCGTGTGCCCTGACCAGGAATCAAACAGTGATCTCCTGGATCCTAGGTGGATGCTCAACCACTGAGCCACACTGGCCAGGCCAGACCTATATTCTTCATGAATTTCCAGCACTTCACACTATGGTACACAGAACAGGCATTCAATAATAATTACTTCATTGAAGTTTGCTTTTTGATCATTTGCCCTATGTAAATCAATGTAAGCTTAATAAAAAGTCTTTACAGTTAAGCATAGGATCCTCTAGGCTAATTCAGAAAATTTGTGTGCAAAAAGTAGGAAAATATATCCTTCAAATAACTGGATTCCTTGCTTCTATTTCTAAACCTAGTTCTAAAAAAATTGTTCAATTTGAAAGCAGCAGTGTTCTTTTATTTTTTCATTCCGTCAAGTTATTTTACTTAATACAACAGGTCTCACTACTAAGCAATTTCCATGGCAAAGAAATTAATGAGCAGACAAAACGAACCTCACAAAGCTAAGTTTATGCACATTAAATTCAATCTGGTATCTCTGGATTTAGCGTTTTAAAGATGATGTGCACAGTTGCCAGATATTTAAAATTAAGGTATTGCCCCTTTTTCCACAAAAGATATACAGTATCTTTTCTAAAAGGACTATGTAGTTTTCCAAGCAATTGCAGTTGCAGTGGTTTATGCTGTTCTCACCCATCTTCTGTAAATTTAGGAGTAATAAGCAAAGATTCAAGTGAAGTGCTATATGAGGTTATTCACTAGTTTTGGTGAATAAATCCTTAATCATGAGTAGGGGTATAATTGTAAGAACTCTCAGAAAAAGCAATCTGACCAGCCAAATATGCCATCTACCATGAACAAAGCCAATTACACTGCAGAGGCTGAAAAACAAACTCTAATACCCTGTAACATTGCTGTTATTATTAGTCTTAAAACTAGGATCTGTCTGCTCTCCAAATGGTAACTTTTTAAAGGAAATAATGCTTACCTGGCGCCTAGAAATGAAGACTTACAAAGTGAAATGTAGCTCAATTCCCGTGAACTGTCAGTGTAGGAAATTAGTACATAAGTGTTCTTATGTGCCAAGGCACGACATTCTTTTTCCATTTTATTCTTTGAACAATAGTATGAAGCAGGGTTTTTCAACTCTTGGGGTCCTTCTATTTGGGTGAATACAGTAAGTGCACCCCAGTTTCCCTCTATGTACAAATGGCTGACCCTTCAATGGAGTTTATATCTCAGCAGAACTCTTCGTTTTCCCCGACTGCCTGGCAAAGTTTTTACCAGCAATATGAGGTCCAAAGAAGAAGGCCAAGGCAATGGAACCAACCTATGTTCTTAGGAAGTAGACAGAAAATTTGACTTGATTCTATGTGTCATTGACTCCAGGAAAAAAACCAGATTCACCAACTGAGGGAGAGTTTCCAACACAGAAGGAAAGAAATATCCTGACAACCTGCGACACTTGGGATAGCTGCAAATATAAAAGACATGAATGAGCGACTCCCACTCCCCGAGAAATCCCCTGGAAAGGGGGCTGCTAACAACCTTAGTCCCAGACATCTACACCAGCATGCCTAACCTGGATACACAACATGGCTGAGATGATCTACACTGTAAGCTCCCCAAGGGCAGGACTCCAGTCTGTTTTCATTTCCCATTGTATCCATAGCAGCTAGCACACTGCTAGTACCCAGTCACTGCTCAAGAAAATACTTGCAAAAAATAACCTGAGAGTAGCAGGAGGGATCCTTGTGATGGAACTGTTTTGTATTTTGACTGTGGTGACCACACAAATCTATACATGTGATAAAAACTGCACAAAGCAAAACATGCAAAAGAGGACACGTAAGACTGGTGACATCTGAATGAGGCTGGTGGATGCATCGATGTCAATGGCTGTGATCATGTACTATAGTTATGCAGGATTTTACCACTGGGGGAAACTGGGTGCAGAGTATATGAGAGCTGTTTATCATTTCTTGCAACTGCACGTGAATCTTCAATTATCTCCAAATAAAAAAATGATATAAGAGGAGAAACAATCTCAGATTGCTGACATTAATCTAAAAGGTAGTAGGACATGGATCAAGATGGACAATGGCTTTGAAAAGCTGTCCTCTGTTTAAAAGAGAGAGGCCACTGAGGGTGGAGGTCCACTAATCAAAGAGACAGATACTTGTGTGGAAATTCAAGGGTGGAGCTCACTTGGGTGAGCTGGAAAACAGGAGAAATGGAGAGCTGCGATATTATTGCCAAAGTTCAGTACTGTCTACTTGGTCAGGTAGGGGAAATGAATAATGGGTCTCAAGATACAAAATACACTAAGAAATAAATGTTAGACTGCATTAAAACAAACAGTGAAGCACTGTAGCAGTAGCACATGTTAAACAAGCAAAAAGCAACCCCAGGCTGCCTTCTGGGTTTCACGATGTTCACTATCTGGGAGGTGAAGGGTGACAATCAGGAATCTCAGATCTCCCCAACTGGCAAACTCCCTCCCTGTTTGTTTTGACATCCCCCTTCCCCACTCCCTACGATGATTAGCAATAAAAACAGTAAAATCTAAAAAGATGCCAAATAAGAGGGGAACTGGGAGACAGCCTTCCACTTCGGTCTCCTTAGGAAGGAAACCACGGAATGAAGAGTGTGGCTGCCTGAAGGTGGGAAAGGAGGGAAAGAGAGCCAGCGTGGTGCACTTCCAAAATCTGCAGAGTTAAAGGACATCCTGAAAGATCAATCTAATGACTGTTTTCCCCGGAAAGGAGACAGCCACAATGGAAATCCTGGGAGACAGAGCCAGGAAAGCTAAGCAGGCTCGTTTGGGAGGCTGGGGTCCCAGATTTGCACATCTTGATATGACACTAAAATTTTAGTATCAGAGGGGAGGAAAAAGAAAGAATCCTAGAGGGACTTTTACACGAAATATTTTTCTCTTTACCCTCGAAAGACAAGTACTATTTTAAAGAAATTTGCTTTAAAAAAAAAAAATCAACAAGCTTATAGTGTATCTATTATCTGCCAAGCTAAGCACTATAGGAACCTAAATAAGTATAAGATAGTTCCTGGGACCATATAAGAAATGTTTGAAACACAGGACTTTCTTTTCTGATGTAACTGAACCATCTTAAGTTACAATATTGATCCATAAATCTATGCAGATCTGTCCCCTGCCACCTACCCAAAAAAGAATGTAGAGAATCAAATTCATCTCAATGTGGGATCTATTCACCCCATTCTCTGAATCTGAATAACTCCAGAGTACAATTCTATTAAATGGTCCCTAAAGCCAAAAAGAAGCCACATACTAGACAGGATGAACTGGTCACTGTGATTTCATTTTAAGGGGAAGGAGAACACAAAGTTTACTAACTTGAAAATCATCTATTAAAAAGGCAATATGACATTTTTGTATCGGTTTATATAGAATTTTACTGCATAAGAAATCATAGAGATTGCATAAATCATTAGGTCAACAACGTATATAGAAGAATGAAACATGATGATTCTGATCAAATAAGTAGAAAAAATAATCCAATTCTTAAAAATACACAAACTCCCCAAATGTGGTTTCTTTTGAGAGAAAATATACGTCTTGCATTTTCTGGATATAGTGATGACTGGTTCCATTAAGCCAGATGGTAAACTGCTTTACAGTTAAAAGCACTAAAAAGCAACTTTCATAGATGTGTAGCCCTCTCAATACTGGATATAACAAATAAAGACATGAGGCTGCTTGCTTTTGCCTAAACATAGCTTGCATTTTCTATTAATAGTAACAATTCACGTAGAAAGTGACATAATTTTCTATGTTATGAAACTACATAAGTTGGAGAATCCAAACAATATTGCAGGAGTGAACTTCTTCCTATGGGGGAAAAGTATATAAATATACTAGATGTTAACATTTCCATTCTTCATTCAATTATTTCCCCTGTTCCAAACATAAAAATACAAATAAATATATTTCCTTACAAATGAAGTTCACAGTCTATTATTTAAAAAAAGATTTAGAAAAACCAAAAATCTTAACTTACTCTTTGTTGTCATTAAATAAAAAATCTAATATACAGACACATTCAAAATTTATATAAATCGTAGGAGTCAGTTTATCATTTCTTGTTCACAGTTGATGTTTAATAGTGCTAGTCTACACAGCACGGCTCACATCCCAAATGCAGGGTTAATTCTACTGTAAGTTGCTCGAGATAATTTTTTTCTTTTTCTTTTTAATTAAAAAAGACTTCTTATTCTGGGAATTTTGGAATTTATACTTGAGTGGTCTGAAAAAATACAACTTCAATGCAAAAACCACATCACGCATTCAAGAGTATATTGCTGGTGCTGTAATCTTTTTGCATGTCTTTGTTTTCATAGGAAAAAAAACAGAATAAAATAAACATGTAAGACTTTTAAATGTTTAAACATAACCACATAACATTGGTGATATGCCTCATGCATACACAGGCACAAAAACCGGAAGGATCAGACGTCTTTCTTTTGCATTTGTTCCAGCTTTCGTCTTAGGAGACCATAATTCTCCTTCGTTCCTGGCGCAGTGGGGTCAAGATGCAGAGAGATTTCATAGTGTTTTTTGGCCAAGTCTAGGTGTCCCCAACGATGATAAAGCACAGCTGAAATAGCAAGAGATGAATTTCATTGGGAACGCTTCTGAATAACTTGCAGTGTTCTCAACCACTTGTACAAAGAAATATTAAAGAGGCTCTGAAACCATTTAAAAAAATCATTGTTTAGAACAATATTGTTTGTACCACAAACTTTGTTTATTGTAATCACACTTCCTCGTGACTGTCTGTTTAACCACCCCCAGTTCGTCCTGCAGTTCTTCGTATCACTAGGCATGAGCCATCTCCCTACAGCAACATTATTACATAAAGAAAAAAAGGAAGAGTACAGTAAGTTTCTCAATCCTGCTGGGAAATTTCCAGGAAGCCAGACTGAATAGGGCTGGGCTCCCACACTCCCTCCCTGACTATGTAGAGGTCCAGCTGTTTACATAAAGATTCCCTTATACCTTTTGGCAAAACAATAGCTTGTTCGTTGCCAGCTGAAAATAAGGTTCTCACATCAAGATCTGACCATAGAATGACAGCTAAAATAAATCTAATTATTGGAATGGCAAACCTCTGATGATTATAATGATTTTGTAAGTAAAACTAACTTGCTAGATAGGCAGAAGAGCAACTATTATCAAGGCATCATGACTTTTACGATGAGGAACTACAGAATCTGCAGGGGTCAGATTTGGTGAAAAAAATAGTCACAGGACTGAGCATTCTAAACATCAACATACTGTGCTCTAAATACCTTAGATATTGAGATGTATAATGGAAGAAAGGAATTCTAGGGATCAAATCTTGGCAAATGTATTTCTAGACAAAGGCATAGGAGAACATAAGAAAGCAGAGAAAGCCAGGCTAGAATGGAAGGTCTACTATAGAAGATGGGGAAGAGTATGTATGTCAGACAGCAAACTGCCACAGCACATCTCAGTTTAGCATTCTTAGGATCCTTTACACACACACACAAATCTGAGTTTTATCATCAGAGTGGGCGATTTTGGGGCTGTTCTCGTCATATCATTAAGATTTGTAAATATGACTGTTACTTAGCTACCATTATAGTGTAATAATTTCTTTTTAAAAACCACATTTTGAAACCAGATTATAAAGGACAATACGGGCTAATTTTGAAAAAACTACTCTCCTGACATCGATTTTACAGAAACACACCACTTCATCAAAATTACACAGACTTTAAATATGATTCAAATTGGAAAAACTTCTTTACCCAAATTGCCATGGTAACTTGCAGTATTTGGATGAGCTTTAATTGCTTTGAGGAATAACGCTTCAGATTCCTAAAAAAGGAAATACATAAAAAGGTAATGCACATGACACAAAACCGATGCACATTTTTATTGTCTATGGTTTTTGAACTCTTAGTGTGCTTTTTTTGTACCGCTGCATCTTTCTTCCAGAAACACTCGGAAGGCCCAGCAGGGCCACACCTTGTTGAGAAGAGGCTCGGAAGGATGACAGGGAAAGTGGGTGACAGGGCAAAGGCGACAGGGCAGTGGTCAGTGGATGACGAGCAGCTGTGCGATGGCTGCAGAGAGAATGACTATGCAAATGAGCTCTGCCACCTGTTTAATGAAATGGCTGGAATTCTGTGACTTCAAGCAAGGAGCTCATTCAGGGTGCAGTGGAGGGCGAGGGAAGGTCAAAAGACTGAAAAGGGCTGGGCTGTTGAAGACACCCACGAAACCGTCATTTTCAGTTAGCATCAATGAACTCATTTCCAGGATACTCAAGGTAAGGGCTGGGGCCTTTTTAATCTCCCCCAATAATCCACAACCCCTTTGGCAACCCCGAAAAGCAGCCCCTTCAGCTGGGAAGATGAGCAGAGAGAATGAGAAAGAGACAGCCGCCTGCCACCAAAGCCATGGCAGTATTGTGTGTGACCATGACCAAATGCCCTTGATGAGCGTGAACTGATTTTTCCATAGATTTGCATTTCCTTCACATAGTACTCACTTCCAGTGGGGTCACTAAGAAGCACAGCCAAGTGTTTGCTTACCTGACCATTACTGGCCACGGCTGGCTGGCTGGCTGGTCCCTTTCTACCCAAGTGTGGAGAAACAGAGATGCCTAATGGTTCTCCCTGACACCTGCCGGGGACAGCTATTCATGCCATCTATATTTCTGTTCCTAAAGGGCCAAGCACACTCTAATCAGTGTCAAATGCCAAGCTTAAACAACCAAAATTGGTGGTTTGGGGACAACTATGTGAGTTTTTCTAGGTGGGCGTCCCACTCCAGGATCCTGCATTTTATAAAGTGTAAGAGTCCAGTTTCCTTGCCCCATGATGGCCTGTGGCACTCCTGAGAAACAGAGTGGCTGAAATGACCTCCAACTGCCCCGTCCTCTCCACCTAGACATAAAGAACCCTCACTTGGTCCTTTGCAGGGCCTTTCTCTGTCTCATATGTTGCCCAAAATGTGTCAAATACATTTTTTCTAATACACTTCAGAAAATTATACTATTTTCCCTTCTTGTTGATGAAAAAATATCTCTGATTTAAAATGTGAGTTTATTTATTTATTCCTTGGCATAAATCTGCATGTTACCTGGGTCTCTAAGCATCCACACACCTCCACAGAAGATCAGTTTATAAACAGTTCATTGCTTTCTGGAACAGGCCATTAAAAGGCCTGATTTAACAGATGAGTATTTCATGGGCTTTGAATACCCACAGATGCTTGTATTCTAAAGAAGCCTCCCGCCCTGCTCTGCCACCCAGGGCCCAGATACAGTCCCAGGGCCACTGCAGCAGCATCCTAAGACTGCCTCACTGCTATCTGAGAGGGTGGCTGTCTAACCCACAGTCACTGTGCCCCCCCAAACCTGCTCTTCTTTCCGACACCTCTTCTTTTGTCAATGTGCTATCGTTTTTCTATCTTCCAGGCTCAGAAACTGTGACTCATATTTTCCTCCCCCATTGTTCTACCACATTAGCTATAAATGGGAAATTAAATGGCAATAAGTAATATAAATTCTAATAGAATTTCATTTAATAATCACTGAACTAAAATTATTGTGTGTGTATGTGTGTATATATATATATATACACACATACACACACACGTTCACCATTTAATAGTTATAAATTATGCCCTTGTACATTTTTCTTATCACCATCTCCGTTGTACAGATGAATAAACTGAGGCGTGGTTAAGTGACTGCTGTTTGGTAAAAAGGGCTGCTTGCATAAAAAGATGTCCCATAATCACATGGGTTTCATGAGAACACTCGCTCTGCACACCAAAGTCTCAATGATTCTGGAAGCCTGAATGTTTCAGAGCCAAATGTGAGACACATTCAGCTATTTCACAGTTACTAATGGGGCACTTAACAAATGCTCATTAGCATGCTGGACAGCAATGGAGATAGAAAAACAGGACCGAACACTCTGACCTCAAGAGGCTCCAGGCTCACTAAAGAGATTCATCAAATGCTAATGAGACTTGCCCTAGCTGGTTTGGCTCAGTGGTTAGAGAGTCGGCCCACACACTGAAGGGTCCTGGGTTCGATTCCGGCCACAGGCACGTGCCTCAGTTGCAGGATGGATCCCTAGCACTGGTCGGGGCACGTGGGGGAGGCAACCAATTGATGTGTCTCTCTCACATCGATGGGTGTGTCTCTCTCTCCCTCTCTCTCTCTCTCTCTCCCACTCCCTCTGAAAAACAATGGAAAATATCCTTGGGTGAGGATTGAAAAAAAAAGTTAATGAGACTCTAAAACCGCACATGCTTAGGTGAAAAGGGAGCTGTACGAACAGCAGACACCTGTCCTGACGGAGACGATGGCTGAGCTGCAGTGCTGCCCGTTCTACCTCTACAAGCTCCCTTCATGTCCCCTCTGCAGAGCCGCCCCACCCAGGGCTCTGCAAGAACAGGCTGCAAGCGGCTGACCCATAGCAACAGGCATCACCTTTACAAAGGAAAAACCATTAAGAGAAAAACCTAGATGATGGTTTAAAATTCCAAATCTTGAATTTAAAAAAATGTATTGAGGGTTTGGTGGCTGACACCATGGCTCATAGGGTAACATCGCAGCCCTCCTTTTGGCAGCTCCTGAAGAGCTCATAATAAGTTCCATGGTTCAGATTCATCTTCTGCTTCCTTATCTTAGGCTCAGTGTCCTGGCCTAGACAATTAGGATGCAAAATGTGTAGAGAATGGGAAACCCATTTGTCTATTCTGCTTTCTAAGGAGTATTTTCTACTTCATCTGGGAAAAAAGAACAGTGTGAGCTGGAAGCCAAATGAACCCTGGATAGTTGCCTTAATAGAATTCTGGTTTGTAGGCTGTGGGATGATAGAAAAATCAATACAATGATTACATAAGCTGAATCCTGAAGACCTGCTGTAGGTGGTCCCTGGGCACCCCCAACAGGTCCCAGGCTGACAGGGATGGCTGGAAAGGTCATTAGAAAGGAAACTCACACACCTCACCTCCTTTCTGCCCCCTCGACGCAAGTAGATCCATAAAAAATAAAACTTAACCCCTCAAAAAGTCATCTCTGGAGTAAAATCTAGAAATGCTAAAATGTATACTGGAGCTGTTAAACAACCTGATATTCAAAAATGAGAGAAATGCATGAAATATATTACTACTATTATAGGAAATTATAATGGTAATGATATCTAATGAGCAGAACGGCAGAAGTAAATAACACAAGACAAATATGAATTAATCACTACCTCTAGGCTTAATGTGATCAAATTCAGATGTGGTTCCGGATTTTAAAAGAAAATATTTTTCGCATGAATGGACTAAGGCACTTCTTCTAAAAGAGTTTTCTGTAACATCTGTCTTAGATACCCAGGATGCTGGTTAAAAATGCATATCCCCTGACCTTACGCAACCAATGAAGTGTCTCTCGTGGCGAGGACGGTGGGCACCTGCATTCTAACACCCTCCCTTGGTGATTCTGATAGACCGAACTAAAGCTTGAGGTCACAGTATTAGGAACACTGAGCCCTCTTCAACACTCCAATTCACAGTCTACTTCTGGCCAACCCTGAGAGCCCAGTTCGATAGAGCCCAGATAAAATATATTGTTTTTCATTGGTCAGGAACTTCTAGGGCCTTGCAGATAACCTATAACTTAACTCCAGATGAGGAGAAATTTGGAAGCAGCAAGAGCCAGTCCTGTATTGCCCATGGGCCATTACTCCTTTTGTGTGGAAGACGGTACCCACAGATAAACCCAGAGCTCCAGCCCAACTGCAAGGGGCTGAATCACACAGCTTCGTGCCCAGGTCGGGGCTGGGCATCTGCTAGGATGCACCTCTTCTCTGGGCTTCTCCTCCCCTCCCACCTTTGAGCAATGGTGGTGAATTCTGATCAGGAAGAACACAAAGTTTGACCTTGCAAATCCATCTTTTCGGCAACTTCTCCAGGAAGCAAACTGACCAAGCCCCCCTGGTGCACTGCCACCACTGTTTTGGCCTAATTCTGAATTTAACTCGGCAGAAGTAACATTTACAGCTTCTGTCAATTGCTGGCATTAATTGCAAGAAATCACGGCCTGCAGTTTACACACCTTGTATTTCTGGGACTTTCCCAGCACATTTGCCAACGAGAACATCAGAGAGTGATCATTAGGTATTAATTCCAGTGCCTCTCTTCCAACTGCTTCAGCTTGGGCTAAATTACCTGCAAGTAGAAAGTGAAAAACTGTACTAGTATTTTGGTCTCTCTCTCTCTCTCTCTAACAGGGCTTATGTGCATAATATACAATGATTATGAATAAACTACTTAAGAAATTCTATGTAAACAATACACACACACACACACACACACACACACACAAATGATCCTACCAGCTGCAAAGCCAATGCAGCCCAGTGTAATTCTGACATAATATATAAACAGCTTGTGATTAAATTTTGTATAAAACCTAATTTTAATTTCCTCCAGATACCAATTATACCCAGATCTGAGAAAACAAATCTGCAGAATAAGAACATCACAGTAGCATTTTAATAACGGAATATTTATCATATAGAAGGACATGTTCTACACTTTCATTAGAAACGAGTATGTCTTATTCACATGGATTAGATGGCTTACTGGCTTTAAACTCTGCTAAATTAAAATGATCGTTTCTTCTGAGATGCTTGGAGTTTTAAAACTAGACGGGCAGAGTATCTCCTAGTTGATCAAGTCTGCCATGGGCTAAGAAGACAGATCATCAAGTCTAATATTAGCATTATATCTAAAATAAGAATCTCTGAGTGTAGGTTTGAGGGCATCTCCTTTGAGGATAGTGCATGAACTTTAGAGCATGAACCTAGCACCACCCATTTCATAGCCCAGAAGCCATTCTCGCTCACTCTGGTTACCTCCAGCGTCCTAGATGCTGGGCACTGCTAGAGAACAGGCCTCAGAGAAATGAGATGTCAGCACTCTTTCTCCTTCATTACTAAACAGCAATTTCAAGCAAAGGGTCATTTTCCCAGACATTTATATTCTAATATGTCAAAAGAAACTCCATTTTCTAGAAGAATAGACATTTTGTAATGCAAAATATTAAATCCCATAATAATTAAAAAAAAACTTTAGCACACACTAGGAAAACCCCCACAATAATCTATATTTCCTAATTATTCAGTGGTACTGTGCTATGAAATTACTTCCTCTGATTTCTGTAATTCACCTTTCTGTACCTGTGTTATCAAGGAGTATGATCATGTTGTTCCAAGCCAGGCTGTGCTCTGGCTTCAGCACAGTAGCATTTCTCCACGCATTCAATGCATCCACATGACGATTTAGATCTGCATACTGAAAATAAAGCATGGGCCAAAAAAATCAATTTTCCAATTTTTTCTCTTCTTCTCTCCAAGACATAACCAAAACCAAACCCCAAATCAAATAAAACCTAACCTGTGTTTATTGAGTTTCTAATTTTTCATATTAACTCACTGAATACTCAAAATAATTCCAATGAAGTAGATAACTCCCCATTTTACATATAAATCACCTGAGGCACAGAGAAATTAAGTAACTTATCCAAAGTTATATATCTAGAAATAGTAGAGCAGAGGTTAGAACCAGGTGGTCTAGTTCCCAAGCTACAATATCTTAACTATAACCCATAACTTAGTGATTCCAGGGGTCAAATCATATTTCAGGCTACTGAAGAGAGAGAAGTTAAAAACCTAATCATCAGTCCTTTTCTAGAAAGACTTCACATAGTCCATCTTTAATATGTTGTTAGTTAAGGGTAAACAAAATATTTAATGTGATTACAAGCTAAATGCGTCAAATTCACCTTGTGCCTCTTCCTGCCTAATCCAAGCGTCATAAAAAACTATGAGCAGATCAGACTTGTAAACTCCCTGGGTATTTGGAACCTGTTAGCCTCCTTTAGAAAGGAGAGAATTTTCTGTTGCTTTGTTTTGACAGGCAGTGTTGACTAACATTGGTAACAGAATACAAAGTGGCTGGCTCTCAATTTGCATAGTCAACAAAAGTGCACTGTGGGAGAAAGTGATGGATTTTTTAGCAGGTGACCCTCTTGCCCTCTTTAACTCAGTTCAAATGCGCATCTCATCTGAATGAACCTGGTTTCTTTAACTCTACAAAGAGCACAAATGATAACAATTTATCAGAGTTTAAAGCTATTTTCTTCCTGATGGTCAAGTCTGTCTTTTCCTTAGACAACAGAAACATTTTGACTTGCCCTATGGCCCACACAGCAAATGGGTGGCATATTATGCAAAAAAGATTTAATAAATTATGGAAACATTTACGAATATCCTTTCGCTAAAGATGTCAAAATTTCCCATGAGACTTGGAAACTCAAGTTACTGAATCTTACCCCTTAAATAAGGAAATGATATGAAAAGTTTAAAACCTTAAAATAATTTAGGCTGCTAATTATACCAACATTTAATTATCTCTCTATATTTGATGTTCCCATTGATTTCTCGGTCAATTCTCTCCAGCAAGTGACATACATTTGAGAAGATAAAATCAGTGGTGATCGTCTTTCTACCAAACCCAGGAAAACCAGCATAACATCATTTATGCAACAATAAAATTCTTCACATACTTTGCTATTTATTACTATTATTGTTATTATCACTATTTATTGAAGAGTAACAACAGGCTGAAATTTAATTTTATGTTGTGTTGACCTTCACCCTTATAGCTTCTATACAAAGTGAACAAGCACTTTAAGGAAAGCAGAGAAAAATGGTAATTTATCAGGAACTACCCATCCAGAAAGTGGATAGGCAATGAACATATTATTTACCTACCAGTCCTATGCCTATACTTTGCAAACTACATTTCCCAGTGTCCTTTGCCCCTTGGCTCCTTGTTAAGTTTCTGCCAATAGGAGTCACACATGATCATCAGGTGGTGGGAAGAGGAGAGTAGCCCTTCCCCCCCTACTTTCACTCTCTCCTTTCTGTTTCTTGGCAGTGTCTATGAAGTGGCTATGTCCCTTCCTCCACAGTCCCAAGGCAGGAGGCAGTGGTTCTTCCTTCATGATCTCAACTCTTAAGGTGGTGGTAGCTCCGGAGATGGTGGCCCAGTCTCTGAGCTCTAACCCTCTGGTGCCACCACATCCTCCTGTTTGTTTCCCCAACCCTAGGGTTTCCTTTTACTCTCTGAGTTAATATCACCTTTCCATTTTTGTTCTTTGGGCCTTCCAACAACTGTCTAGCCGATTCCCTATGTTAAATCTTCTCTATTTAAATATACTTAATTAACATGGCTTGTGTTTTCCTGAATGGATCCTGATACAATTAGTCCTTGCATAATAAATTGTCTCTAGTAATATCTCCAGTCACTACTATTATAGTTCTCTAATATCAGTAATATGTCCCAAATAATCCAGTTCTTGCCAATTCCTATTTCACAAGAGAACAGCATTATATTCTTTTCTTATCTGGGTTCAGAAATAAAAAATACATTTCTGTCTCCTGTTACTAAACATTGACAACGGAGGATTTACAAAAAAGAAACTTTTAAGTTATTAAGTTCCTTTTATTTGTTAATATAGAAATGCGTTGGTTGAACTGTTAATGATTAAGCTCTTAATGCTTTTAACTTGTCAAGCAGGCAAAAGCTGGATAATTAAACAACAGTGGAGAGCAAAATCTTTAAATAAGCAAAAACAGTTGGCAGAAGCAAACATAAAAAGTTCATTTCACGGTAGCATAATTTGTAAACGATATACACAGAGAGCAGTCCAAGGTCTCAGTCTATTCGTTTTTTAAAATTGATTTTTAGAGAAGGAGGAAGGGGGGGAGAGTGAGAGTGAGAGAGAGAAAGAGAGGGAGGGAGGGAAGCATTGCTCAGTTGCCTCTCTCACACACGCTGACCAGGGATAGAACCTGCAACCTAGGTATGTGCTCTGACCAGGACTTGAACTCGCAACCTTCTGGTGCATGGGATGATGCTTCGGAATCTCAGCTGCTGCCCACGGGAGCAGGACCAGCCCTTTTGCATTTTAGCCCTTCCTACAAATCTCAATGTGGCTTCTGTCAATCCTTGGTTTGGTTATAAGACTTCTCTTCAGCTAGTCTTCAGTTGGTTATTCAGGTTGCTTGCTCTATATTTTCATTGTAATTCCAGTTTGGTCCTGGGAGATGATGAGTGTAACATCCACCTGCTCTACTGCCATCTTAGATTCTCCATAATGTGATTTCTGAGCTTCCGTCTTCTCCTTTTTCAAGAGACAGCTCCCTGCATCCCTTGGTATTCCTGCGGATAACTGTTCTCCACACATAGGAAAGCTCAGGAGGGCATCGGATTTATTTGAAAGGGTTTTGAGATTATTCGATGGAAGTAGAAAAGAATGTGTTTCATAATTACATTCTATTTTAGTTATTAACAGAATATAAAGATTTAATTGATCTGATTTTCTTTATACCTTGGGACATTTGCCAAGTGACCTCAGACCCAGTACTGGCATCAAGTTTGAACCTGTGTCAATCTGGCGAATACCAATCGCCCCTACTTGGTGACTCACTGAGAACCTACCTCATGCAACTTGAGTACCACCAGAGGCTCTTTCAGTGACTGAGCCTAACAGGCAGCTGACAGGTGGAGGTGGATCTTGGGACTTTTGCTGACCTGTCCCCAGGCCTACTGCTGGTAAAAGCTGGCCATGCCCAGCAGAGACAGCCACAAACTGTGGATGACTTTGTAGCTCCAAGCAGGTTACTCAGGGCCAGTCACAGGCAGTGTCTGACACTGGCCTGCACCAAGAGGCCCTAGAACCAACAACCCAGTGGCCAGCTTCACACATCAGAGCAGAATCCAATTAGCTTCACAAGCAGTATATCCCAAGGGAGATATGAGCAGGCACCATATCCTGCTGAGCTGAATTCTGCTTTGTGTAGTCAGCACCTGCACAGAAGCTTGTACACTGAAGTATGGGTCAATCCTCACAGTAAGCCAGACTCAAGGTTGACCCCATGTACAAACAGGCCAATAAATCAAGACTCAGTTACAATAGGAGGGCCTACATAACCCACAAGGGACATTCCAGGAGCACCCAGCTCAGGTGATCAAGGAGACTGTGCCACTGGGCCCCAAAGGACACTATGTAAGCCCACCCTACCAAGATCAGAAGTCATAGCAGATCTACTTAATACACAGAAAAAACACAAAGAGGCCGCCAAAATGGGAAGACAAAGAGATATGCCTCAGGATAAATATCCAGAAAAAAATCTAAATGAAATAGAGGCAAGCAATTTACTAGATATCATTTTAAAAAAAAGGCTATTAGGGTACTCAAGGAACCTGGAAACTTCAACAAAGAGATAGCAAGCATAAAAAAGGACACACAAACCATAAAAAGAACCAGCCAGAAATGAAGAATACAATATCTGAAATGAACAATACACTAGAAGAAAGAAATAGTAGGTTGGATGAAGTAGAGGATTGAATCAGCAATTTGGAAGACAAGATAGCAGAAAACACCCAATCAGAACAACAAAATGAAAAAAGAATTTAAAAAAATACGAATAGTTTAAGGGATCTTTGGGACCACATGAAGTGTAACAACATCAGCATCATAGGAGTACCAGAAGGAGAGAGAAAGAGCAAAGGATCAAGAACCTATTTGAAGAAATAATGACTGAGAACTTTCCTAACCTGGTGAAGAAAACACACACACAAATCCATGAAGCACAGAGAGTCCCAAGCAAGAAGCCCCCCAAAAGGCCCACACCAAGATATATCATAAATAAAATGGCAAAGGTTAAAACAAAGAGAGAATCTTAAAAGCATCAAGAGAAAGACAGTTATTTAGCTACAAGGGAGCTGCCATAAGACTGTCAGCTGATTTCTCAACAGAACAATTTCAAACCAGAGGGATTGGCATGAAATGTTCAAAGTGATGAAAAGCAAGGACCTACAACCAAGACTACTTTACCCAGCAAGACTATCATTTAAAATTGAAGGAGAAATAATGAGCCTCCCAGACAAGACAAAGCTAAAGGAGTTTGTTTCCACCAAACCAGTATTACAGGAAATGTTAAAGGGTCTCACTTAAGAAGGAGAAGAAAAATAAACAAAACAGAGGAACATAGCTAAAAGAATAAAATGGCAATAAATACATACTTATCAATAATCACTTTAAATGTAAGTGGCTTAAATGCTCCAATCAAAAGACATAGATAGCTGAATGGATAATAAAACAAGACAAATATATATGCTGTATATAAGAGACCCACCTCAGAATGAAAGATACACACAATCTAAAAGGGATAAAAAAAGATGTTTCATGCAAATGGAAATAAAAAAAAAAAAGGCTGGGGTAGCAATACTTATATCAGACAAAATAGACTTTAAAACAAAGGATATAGTAAGAAACAAGAAGGACATGACATAATGATAAAGGGAGCAATCCAAAAAGAGGATAGCCCGGCAGGGCATGGCTCAGCGGTTGAGCGTCAGCCTATGATCCAGGAGATCGTGGTTCGATTCCCAGTCAGGGCACATGCCCAGGTTGCAGGCTCGATCCCCAGTCGGGGGCGTGTAGGAGGCAGCCGATCAAATGACTCTCTCATCATTGATGTTTCTCCCTCTCTCACTTCTCCCTTCCTCTCTCTGAAATCAATAACGATGTATATTTTTTAAAAAAATTAAAAAAGAGGATATAACCCTTGTAAACATTTATGCACCCAACATAGGAGCACATAAAAGTAGAAAGCAAATCTTGATGGACATAAAGGGAGAGATTGGCAATACAACAGTTAAAGTAGGGGATTTTAACACCCCATTGACACAATGGATAGATCTTCCAGACAGAAAATCAACAAGGAAACAGTGGCCTTAAATGACACACTAGATGAGATGGATTTAATTGTTATCTCCAAGCATTTAACCTGAAAGCAGCAGAATATGCATTCAAGTGCACATGGAACATTTTCTAGGATAGACCACATATTAGGTCACAAAACAAGTCTCAATAAATTTAAGAAGCCTGAAATCATATCAAGCATCTTCTCTGACTACAATGGTATGAAACTAGAAATCAATCACAAGAAAAAAACTGAAGACATAAAGGCTAAATAACATGTTACTAATCAATGAATAGGTTAACAATGAAGTCAAGGAAGAAATCAAAAGATACCTGAAACAAATGAAAATTGGAACACAACCACCCAAAATCTGTGGGACACAGAGAAAGCAGTCCTAAGAGGGAAATTCATAGCATTATAGGCCTATCTCAAGAAACATAAAAAAGCTCAAATAAACAATCTAACTTTACATTTAAAGGAAATTGAAAAATAAAAACANCAAATTCATAGCATTATAGGCCTATCTCAAGAAACATAAAAAAGCACAAATAAACAATCTAACTTTACATTTAAAGGAAATTGAAAAATAAAAACAAAGCCCAAAGTGAATAGAAGGAAGAAAATAATTAAGATCAGAGCAGAAATAAATGAAATAGAGTCTAAAAAAAACAACACAAATGATCAATGAAACCAAGAGCTGGTTCTTCGAAAAGATAAACAAGATTTTAACCAAACTCATAAAAAAAAAAAAAAAGAGAGAGAAACCAAATAAATAAAATCAAAAATGAAAGAGGAGAAGTAACAACTGACACCAAAGAAATACAAAGAATTGTAAGAAAAATACTAAGAACACCTATAAGCCAACAAATTGAACAATCTGGAAGAAATGGATAAATTCCTAGAAACATACAATCTTCCAAAATGGAATCAGGAAGAATAAGAAAATCTGAATAGGCAGATTACAACTAATAAAATTGACGCAGTAATCAAAAAACTCCCAACAGACAAAAGTCCTGGACTAGATGGTTTCACAGTTGAATTTTACCGAACAATCAAAGAACTAACCTATCCTCAAACTATTCCAAAAAATTCAGGAGAAAGGAAGACTCCCAAGCTCAGTTTTATGAGGCCAACATTATCCTAATTCCAAAACCAGAAAAAGACACTACAAACAAAGAAAATTATAGGCCAATATCCCTGATGGACATAGATGCTATAATCCTCAACAAAATATTTTATAAAAAGATCATACTTTATAAAAAGATCATACATCATAAATACTTTATAAAAAGATCATACATCATAATCAAGTGGGATTTATTCTATGGATCCAAAGTTGGTACAATATCCACAAATAAATAAATGTGAAACATCACATAAAACAGGATAAAAATCACACGATCATATCAATACATGCAGAAAAAGCATTTCATAAAGTCCAGCACCCATTTATGATAAAAACGCTCAGCAAAGTGGAAATAGAACATACGTCAATGTTATAAAGGCCATATATGACAAACCCACAACTAACATGATACTCAATGGGAAAAAAACAAAAAGCATTTCCCTTAAGATTGAGAAGACAGGGATTTCCACTTTCACCACTCTTATTCAGCATAGTACTAGAAGTCCTTGCCACAGCAATCAGATAAGAAAACGAAATAAAAGGCATCCAAATTGGAAAGGGAGAAGTAAAACTCTCATTATTTGTAGATGACACAGTACTGTGTAAAGAGAATCCTAAAGATTCCACCAAAAAACTACTAGAATTGATAAATGAATTTAGTAAAGTAGCAGGATACAAAATAAATATCCAGAAATCAGTTGCATTTTTAACACCAATAAGGAACTATTATAAAGGAAAACTAAGAAAAGAATCCCATTTACAATTGCATCAAAAACAAACAAACTCCAAAACCTAGGAATAAATTTAACCAAGCATGTAAAAGACCTGAACTTGAAAAATTATAAGACATCGAGGAAAGAAATCGAAAAAGATACAAATAAGTGCCCATGGATTGGAAGAATTAACATCATTAAAATGTCCATACTACCCAAAGCAATCTATAGATTCCACACAATTCCTATCAAGATACCAATGGCATATTTCATAGAACTAGAACAAATATTCCAAAAATTTATATGGAACCTCAAAAGACCCCAAATAGTAACAACGATTTTGAGAAAGAAGAACAAAGTTGAAGAAATCACACTACCTGATATTAAACTATACTACAAAGCCATAGTAATCAAAACAGCATGGTACTGACATAAAAACAGGCATATAGATCAATGGAACAGAATAAAGAGCCCAGAAATAAACCCGCACCTTTATGGTCAATTAATATTTGACAAAGGAGTCAAAAACATACAATGGGGTAAAGACAGTCTATTCAATAAACGGTATTGGAAATATTGGACAGATATGTGCAAAAAAATGAAAGTAGACCACCTTCTTACACCATACACAAGAATAAACTCAAAATGGATTAAAATCTTAAATGTTAGACTTGAAACCATAAAAATCCTCAAGAAAACATAGGCAGTAAAATTTTGGACATTTCTCATAGTGATATTTTTTTCTGAAATATCTCCTTAGCAAGGGAAACAAAAGAAAAAATAAGCAAATGGGACAGCATCAAACTAAAAATTTAGTTTTTGCACAGCAAAGGAAACCATCAACAAAACGAGAAGACAATCTACTGAATGGGAGAACATATTCACCAATGATACATCTGATAAGGGGTTAATATCCAAAATTTATAAACAACTTATAAAACTCAACACCAAAAAAACAAACGGGCAAAGGATCTGAATAGACACTTCTCCAAAGAAGATAGACAGATGGCCAATAGACATGGGAAAAAATGCTCAACATCGCTAATCATCAGAGAAATGCAAATTAAAACGAAAATAAGATATCACCTCACACCTGTCAGAATGGCTGCCATCAATAAAACAACAAACAACTAGTATTGGCGAATGTGGAGAAAAGGAACCTAAGTGCACCGTTGGTAGTAATGCAGATTGGTGCGGCCACTGAGTAAAACAGTATGAAGTAACCTCAAAAAATTAAAAATGGAAATGCCTTAAGACCCAGCGATTCCACTTCTGGGAATGTATTGGAAGAAACCCGAAACACAAATTCAAAAGAATATACGCACCCCTATGTTCACTGCAGTGTTATTTACAATAGCCAAGATTTGGAAGCAGCCCAAGTGTGCCTCAGTAGATGAGTGGATAAAACAAACGTGCTACATTTACAGGATGGAATACTACTCAGCCATAAAGTGTAAATCTTATCTTTGGTGACAGCATGGATGGACCTGGAGAGTATTATGCTAAGTGAAAAAAGCCAGTCAGAGAAAGACAAGTACCATATGATTTCACTTATATGTGGAATCTAATGAACAAAATAAACTAACAAACAAAATAGAAACAGGCTCATCAATACAGAGAACAGACTGACAGCTATCACAAGGGAGGGGGGTTGGGGGGCTGGGTGAAAAAGGTGAAGAGATTAAGCAAAGAAAAAAAAACTCTTAGACACAGACAACAATATGGTGATTCCCAGAGGGAAAGGGGGTGGGGGGAGGTATAAGAGGGTAAAGGGGGATAAATGGTGATGGAAGGAGACTTGACTTGGGGTGGTGAACACACAATACAGTATACAGATGATGTGTTAGAGAACTGTACTCCTGAAGCCTATATAATTTGATTAACCAATGTCACCCCAATAAATTCAATAAAAATTTTAAAAAAGAAATCACATCATGTGTTTGTTTCTTTAACCCCAGTATTTGTTTTAAAAACAGAGAAACTGATGTTTATCAGAAGATTACCTTACCCCTAGGAGTACAGGGCACAAGGGACTTTAAAAATTCTAATTTATTCTTTGGTTTGACCTGTTGCCTTTGTGCTCTCTGAAGCTTGGCTAATTCAAGTTGGATTGCTCTCTAATTAGAGCTTAAAAAGTTAAATATAAGGAAATCAAATAGCTCCCTTCAAATGAGATAAACCTAAGGGAAAGAACTTTTTAAGATGGAGAATGCTAGTAGGGGGTGTTACTACCTTCATTTTATTATAAATAAGGAGACAAACAAGCTTTTCTTCTGCAGTCACAGGCCACCACACACTTACCAAACGCCCGAGGTTGTAGTAACAGTCTGGGTATTTCCTCCTGTGTTTGATTGCTGTCCGGTAACTCTGCTCGGCAGCTTCGAACCGTTTCAGGCTGTTCTGCACTATGCCTAAATTCATCCACGCCGCAGCAAAGTCTGGCCTGGTGAGCAGTTTTAAAAGGTAAACAAGGAATAGAAAGGCTTAGGCCCAGGAGACAGGAACTCATTTCTTTGCCACTAGCGTAATTATAAAAACAATGCTTACTGAATTTGTACAGCCAAAGACAGCAGCTCCTCTGCTTCCTGTAGCTCATTCCTTTCTTTTAAAATATTTCCAAGATTATTCATGGCATGAACATACTTGGGATTTAATCTGCAAGTAGAGAGAGAAACTGAGCCATCTGTCAATGCTCAGTAGTCTTCGCTAAGCTCTCAGGAATTGGCAAAGATATCTTAATGTTGGGGTCTTTAAGGGGACAGGTTTTTAACCCAAGAAAGTTAAAACAAGACATGCATATAAATGAGACAAGATGCCTGCAGTACCTCACAGCTTCCCGGTAATATCTGATGGCAGCTGTTTGGTTGCCTTTATCAGCCAGGTTTTTGCCAACATTGTAGTGAACCTGAAAATAGAGATAAAAGACTTGGTCATTGGCTGACAGACTTCTTCCTTCAGAGCAGGGATAACTATTATATCTTGTAACTGAAAACAAAAGCCACCTACCAGAACTTCAGCTAAAACCCTACAGAGGCTTGGCCAGGGGCTTGCCCCACCTTGTAAGAGAAGAGTCGAAGAAAGGGAGGTAACAACCAGACGATACCACTAAAGTATAACAGAAGGATATTTAACTAAAGAACTCACCGGAGAAAACTGAAAACTTAGGAAGTTGGGCTGGTTTTACTGCTAAACAAACCCTCAACTCCCCTTCCTCTCTCATCTACCCATCCCCAATTAGGACAATCACCATTCTACTTTCTGTTTCTATGAATTTGACTTCTCTAGGTACCTCAAGTAAGTGATATCACATAGTATTTGTCTTCTTGCAACTGGCTCATTTCATTGAGCATGTCCACAAGGTCCATCCGTGTTGTAGCATATGTCAGAATGTTCTTCCTTTTTAAGGCTGAATAATATTCCGTTGTATAGATAGATGACATTTTCTTTACCTGTTTATCTGCTGATGGACACTTAGGTTGCTCTCATCTTTTGGCTATTGTGACTAATGCCGCTATGAGATCCTACTTTTAATTTTTTTGATACACACACACACATATATACACACACATACATACATATACACACACACATACAGGATGGGGCAAAATTAGGTTTACAGTTATGAGTACACAAAACATAGTTTATTTTTATTGATTATTGTATTATTTTCCATATGAACAACTGTAAAATTACTTTTGCCCCAACCCGTGTGTGTGTGTGTGTGTGTGTGTGTGTGTGTGTCCCCCCAGAAGTGGAATTGCTGGATCATATGGTAATTCTATTTCTAATTTCTGAAAAACTAAAATGGTTAATTTTATGTTATAAGAATTTTACCTCCATTTTTTTAATAAAAGAGAATCTTTAATGATTTAGTTGTATGTAGACTAGAGGAAACAGGACTCCCAGCTGCAAACCTACCAGAAATTCTCAGCCATCTCAATGTGAGGGCACTAGGGTGGCCAATTTATGGCACTTTCTCAAGAGTACATGGGCTCAGAATAAATTACAAGGAAAGGAGCTGGGACCTGAACTAAAACCAGAGTAGTAGAAGTGGACAGACTCATGAGGACTATTATCAAAAGTATTTATTGGTCATCAAAAGCTCCTTTTGGAGGATGAAAATATAAGGGTCAATAGCAATCTCAGAAGAGATGAATGCTACAGAAATTAATTTAATTAGGTGTATTAAGTGTGACTAATAACAATAACAGAAACACCAGCAATAGGCAGGTGCTGAACACACAGTTTCTTTTCTTCATAGCATCCCTGACAGGTAGCTGCTATCACCCTTCCTTCCAAGTTGAGGGACTGCTTCAGTGTTGTTCAGCATCTTACCCAAGGTTCTGGTGTTGGATTTGAATCCAGGATCCAAAGCCTGTGTTTCTTCTTACTATATCACATCTATTTATTAGGGTGCTCAGTAAAGATGGAACCAACTACTCAAGGCAATTTCTAGACCCACTCATTCATACCATCTATTACTTTTCTTAAAGTAAAATAATATTTCTTCTTGTGTGTTAAGGACTGAATTGTGTGTTGTCGCCACCCTCCCCCCCAAAATTCCTATGTTGAAGCCCTAAACCCCAGCACTACAGAATATGAATGTATTTGGAGACTAGGTCTTTAAAAAGTCATTAAGTTAAAATGAGGTCCTTACAGTGGGCCCTAACTCAACCTGACGGGTGTCCTTACAAAAAGGGAAAATGTGGACACACAGAGAGACACCAGGGATTTGTGCACATGGAGGACAGGCCGTGTGAGGACACAGTAAGAAGGTGGCCATCTGCAAGCCCAGGAGAGAGCCCTCAGGAGAAATCAACCTGCTGATACCTTGATCTTGGACTTCCAACCTCCTGGAACTATGAGAAAATAAATTTCTGTTGTTTAAGCCACTTAATCTGTGGTATTTTGTTATGACAGACTAATATAATGTGAAATACAATAATGGTTTAAACACATTCAAGTAGCATTACATTCAAACATTTCCAAACCCTTTCTGGAAATATGAGCACATCCTGCCTCATCAATCCTAACCTATGGTTAGAACACACTTTCAAAACTATTGATATTTCTGAAAGGGTAGGGAGCATTGCAACATTCTCTATGCACATACATAACAGAGGTTTGTTTTTTTAACTGCCAATCTTAAAGTCCACACATTTATTTTTACCTAATCTAACAACAGCAATCACAAGCAGGGATACCACGGGTGACAGGAATGTGTACTATTGCACACACACTGCATAGTTTAAACTTCTGGAACCAAACCACTGTCCATTTGTAGGTATTATCATCTGCAAATCACAGCTTGGAGGCTAGTTAATGCTATGGTCAGCCACATGTTTCGAAAAGTATGCTCTACATGGTTTGATTTTGTGCCTCCCCCAACCCGAGCTGGGAGGTGTTACTTCACACACAAAAGAACGAAATCTGGAGAATCCAATCTGTGAGCGAAGCGCTCGTGGCCCCCAGAATACAAACACAGCTCTGTGGCAGACTGCAACACAGCACTCCCACCCCTTCCGCCCCTGAGCTCCCGCTGCTTTCCTTTGTTGTGGGGAAATTCTGTTTTCTCAATAAAAAGCTCAAACAAAGAGTTCAAGTGCCCTCTGCAGCACAGACAGTGTTCTGTCAGACATCCTCTGATAGACACCGAACACCACACACCAGAGGATAGGGGGAGGCAGGAAGGGCACTCTGGAAACTCAGGCTGCAGCTGTTTCAATGGGACTAGTTAAAAACCCGACGCAGCCCTGGAAGGCAAGCTGTCCGGAATGAAGAACTGGCAAAAAGGTCGCCCAGAGGGCAGCCTTATCCTCTGGTTATGTGGAGGGAAGTGTTGGAACAGAGAACAGGTGCCTAGATAACCCGCTGTAAAAAAAACCAAACACCCACAAAAAAACAAAACCAAATAATGCTGACACAGTTTACTTAAAAGTGTGTTTAAGGAACACATCATTTTTGTTTCCAAGGAAGGTAAATGATTGAAAAAGCCTATTTATTCTCAAGCTTCCCTCCAGCCTTTGTGATCTGTGGGCTGAGGCAATGAAGCAGCATAGAAGCCACAGATAAAATCCACCACTGTATCCCCGTGACACGTAAATGTAAAGGACGTGAAAGTGGCAAGGATGGGAGCACGTTTAACACCAGCTCGAAGACCAGTTCATTTCAAATATTCTGCCAACGGTCGATTTTTTTTTTTTTAAATATATCTTTATTGATTTCAGAGAGAGGAAAGGAGAGGGGGAGAGAGAGAGAAACATCAATGATGAGAGTCATTGACTGGCCGCCTCCTGCACGCCCCCAACTGGAGATAGGGCTGCAACCCGGGCATGTGCCCTGACCGGGAATCGAAACCCGATCGCCTGGATCCTAGGTGGACGCTCAACCGCTGAGCCACACCTGGCTGGGCCAACGGTTGATGTTAAACTTAAAATCTTTTAAGTACATGAATGTTCTATAATCTATCCTGGGTCACTCCTTAAGGAAATGCCTAATCGTGGCATATGATCCTTTTCATTATTGAAAGAATTGAGAAATGTATCCCAGAGTTGATACAAAGTGGCACGTACTTTAAAGCCTTAAAAACTAAAAATGATTATCAATATAATTAGATACTTGGTATTTCACCAAAGTAGGCTCAAGGAATTTAATTTCCATTTGGCTCAGTTCAATCACTGAGCGCATACCATATGCAAGGCATTGCGGGTAATTCAAACGCAGTCCAGGCACTGGTACTACCTACCTGGATATTGCAATCTTTTGAGAAAGAGGAGCGTCCATTTGTAAATCTGGGCCTAAACTAGGGCCAGGTGTCAACTGCTTACTTAATATTCAACAACATAAAGTGGATAGCAGTACAATAAATGTGTCTCCTGTAACGGAGTTGAAGGAAACCAGTGTCTTCCTAAATGAGATTTCTGCTTTGAAATCAACCTAGCTTTTTTTCTAAAAAAAAAAAGAAAGTAAAGACAATTTTATAACATTTCAATTTATATTGGAAAGAAAAAAAAATCTCTACTATGCTCATACTGAATGGCATCACTGAAAAAGTTCTTAGAAAGGACTATCCCTGCCAGGTCCATTTTGAAGATGAGGTCTCCTAAGTATATATGTTTTAAATTAAAGGAAGAAAACTATGCACAGTGACATATAATAATGGTGTGTGTGCCCATGTGGGCACGCCCTATGTTTTCTAGCCTACAACATATGAAATCACATTACTAGGACAGACAGAAAAGCTCAAAATCACACATGTCCCATCTTCTCCCTCCCCCATTTACTAGAGTAACTTGGGCCCCGTATCATACCAGCTCTCTATCTAGCTACCTGGATTACTAAGCTAGATAACTTCATTTACATTTTTCTATGCCTCACTTTCTCCCATTTGTACAAATAAAATAAAAAATAATACCCTCTCTCTAAAATCCTTAAAGGGAGGATAGTGGAGATTAATTACAGAGCCACTACAAAGAAATCTGAGTTCCTTACAAGGAAGAACTATATAAGTAAAAGGCACAATTACTGCTATTCAAACTCAAAAGTAAAAATAGAGCAAATCTATTAACATTTATAAAATTGAATCATAGGCAATTTACTTTTAATAGCACAAAATAAATGGATAGGCCAGCAAATCAAATTAACCATGTTTGAAGTAGTTCACTCTTTTATCTAAGTCTCTTAACTACAAAAAAATGAACGACACTTTTAAAAAATATGTTTTTATTGGTTTTGGAGAGAATGGAAGGGCGAGGGACAGAGAGAGAGAGAAACATCAGTGATGAGAGTGAATCACTGATCGGGTGCCTCCTGCACACCCGCTACTGGGGATCGAGCCCACAATCCAGGCAGGTGCCCTGACTGGGAACCAAACTGGCAGCCTCTTGGTGCCTGGGACCAACTGCACCAACTGGACCAACTCAACCAATTGAACCACACTGGCCAGGCTGAACAACGTTTTTTAATCCAAGAAAAAGGAGTCAGTACCTTTTATACTATTCTTTGCTTCAAGGTCACCATAAGATGTTAACTATTCATTAGATTTATTCATATCATTTTACCTGAAATCATTGCTTTTTCTTAAATATAGAACGTAAAACTGAGATAGAACTGCAGAGCGTTCTTTTTTTCTTCCCCTGAGGATTCATTTGGAGCATCCTAGGAAGTTCCAATTCTGATGACCCAAGAGAGAATGAATCATTATTCAGCAATAATAAAGATCTATATTAACAGAAATTCTTCTAACCTAACCCCTTGGCATCCCATTTGGAGCAAGTAACATTCCCTTCTTGTAATTTAATTTGAAAACCAAAATTGAAATGAGCCTAAGAAAGCTAACATTTTTTGAGCACCTACTATGTTCTAACTACCATGTGAGGCCACCTCAGATGCCATGTTTCATTAAGGCCTCACCATAAACCCAGGAGACAGGCATCATTGGCCCCCTTATAGATAAGGGCACTGAAAGTTCAAAAAAGTTTACTTTTGTCCAAAGAGGCAGAGCCGGTAAAGCAAAGAGCTTGGATTCATGAAGAATCCAAGTGAAAAAATTCCTACCAGACTGCTTCAACAAAAATACTGCCAAGTTTGAAGTCTACACATTTATTTTCATGTAATCTAACAGAAGGAAAAACAAGTAGAGGAACCGCAGGTGATATAAATGTGCACTACTGCACACTGCATGGCACAGTCTCAGCTTCCTGGGTCAAATTATTGTCCATTTGTAGGTATGATCATCTTTGAATTATGGCTTGGAGGCTAATGCTATGGCCAGAGCATATATTTTGAAAAGTGTGCTCTGAATGCTTTGACTGTGGGCCTCCCCAGCCCCAGACTGGATATGTGGTGTTAGCTGGCCTGCCACCACGTCAAAGGGTGATTAGACTGACTGGAAGATGGGTAGAACTTTATTTAAGTAATCTCCCGTTTCACTGGCATTGTCTGGTTTCAATAATTCCCTTTGAATTATTTGGGCTAACAGGAATTTTAATAAATTTTATCAAAATAACAACCAAAAAAAAAAAAAAGGAAGGAAGGAAAGAAGGCAGGCAGGCAGGCAGGCCCAAGCTGGTGTGGCTCAGTTGATTGAGCATGGTCCCATACACCTAGAGGTTGTAGGGTCACTTCCTAGTCAAGGCACATGCCCGGTTTGGGGGCTCCATCCTCAGTAGGGGATGTGCAGGAGGCAGCCAATCGATGCTTCTCTCTCATCAGTGTTTCTCCTTCTTCCTCTCTCTTCCTCTCTCTCTCTCTCTCTCAAAATCAATAAAAACATATAAAAAACTTTAAAAAAAGAAAAACCCAAAATTATGCTAGATTCTGTATGAAGGCAAACATTCTTCTTATTCAGCTGTTGAACTTCAAACATTTCCCAGTAACGTCTTTCTAAAGAAACAGGGCAGCCAACACACCTTAGCATTGAGAGGGCACACAGACAGGGCGCTTCTAAAAAGCTGTTCTTCACTCCGCCACTCGCCGCTGCGAATTATGCATCTCAGAGTGTTTATGAACAGGATTCCCAGTACCAGAGCGGCGATTAGTTTCTTTAAGAACAGAGAGACATGGTAAATGTCATGAGGAAAATCCGTCCGACCGCCCCGGTTAGGAAGGCAACCCTCCTGGCCAGTACCTTTCTCTTCACGTGTCTACTGAGAGCTCCAAATCCGAACGTCAGCAGCATGCAGTACCCAGCGCTGGGGAGGTAGAGGACTCTCTCGGCCACCACAAAGCCCACTCGGAAGAACAAATTACTTGCAGGAAGAAATGGGATAATGAAGAATCCCAGGCCCAGCGTAAGGATCCTGGAAAATGGGAAGTACTTAAAATGGCGATTGTTAGACTTCTCAAGAAAAATGTGCTACTCAACATTAAAATAATAATAAAGGCCTCTCTCTCCCCCGTATTACCAACTGAGGAAAGGTATCGGCCACAGCAAATGTTGTCATGCCTAGAGAGGGTTCAGCCTGGCGGTATTAGAATAAGACATAAAAGTCTTACTGAGGCACTTAGCATCAGGCATAGGACAAAATTTACAAGTCGCACAATTCACATCAGTGAGGTCAGAATGACTACATTTGTGAGGCCTTATTAATTCTTCTACTCCTAACTCACCTCCAACCATGTAGGTAGCGAATAGCCTAGTGGATATTGGCCCCAATTAGTCTAACATAGTTTTCACAGGGGGAAAAAAAACAACCCCACAAACTTAACAGGTATAATAATACTTAACTAGTTTAAACTTTATAAAATCTGAAATAAACTAGTATCATTTTGGGGGCTACACCACCACACATTTCAGTCACGTAGAAGAAGGCTGTGTAATGAACCACTTCATTTCTAATGTCCCTTATGACACAGAGGATGGATTGAGAAACTAGGTAAAATTTGGTGGTTCCTTCCTGGACCCTGTGCCAACAGTATTTTAAAAATAAAATCTAACTGCCCATGTATAAGTGAACTGGGACAAAAGTTTGTTGCCCTTTAGAATTATGAGCCAATTTAAAACACAGGTAAACGTGAAACTTAATTTATTTTGAGAAATTACTTAATCGAATTCCATAAACACTATGTGCAAAGGAAATCATCTTAAATAGTTTTCTTTCTCATGAAACACATTTGTTTTTCCTTTAATTATTTTCTCAATAACCCTTCCCCCCCCCCCCTTTTTAGTGAGAAAGAATAGTCTCTTTGGGGCCGCCGCTTATTTTGTACCAAACAACAGAAGGGATCGCTATTGCCTCCACCAGGGTGTTCTGAAGGGAGGGCTGTGAAATAACGGGCACAACACACATCAATTACACTCTCTGTTCTGACCATAAATTACTCTTTACCACCTGCCGAGAAAAGATCTCGAAATGCTACTTTGGGGGGGAAAGGAGGAGGGGGAGATAAAGCAGTCATCCATACCCCCTTCCTCCAAACTCCCTCCCCACTAGTCAGAGCCAGGGATGGATTCCAAATGGGAGAACTCGTCCTAGTCATAAATATGTATTGGGAATAAGTGCCCTTAGACATGACTTCCACAAAATCGTGAAAGCGATCAGCGCTGGATTTAGCAAAATGCTTCTGACTCAAGCCAGTGTGGAAGTTAAAATTCAGCACTGTCTCTTACCTTCTCCTGTGACTGTCTTCAGAGCAGAGGGCTTGGCATATTAGGCCAATTAGGCAGAACCAGAGTGCTGCAAGTGCAATTACCCTCCAGTCACCAACGGACTTAATGAGGGGGATGCAGCCCATTGACCAATCAAAACACAGCCACCAGGGGCACAGCAGCAGCCAGGCATTCAATGAATAGTAGTAATTATAGTTTATGGCCTGTCAGTCAAAAGGAAAACAAACATTTATTTAATGCTAAACTTGAAAAAATCCGTATGTATCCTAACTCCACTTCCGTGGCATCCGTATGCTTCTGTTCAGGGAGAGCAGTTGTAGAAAATAACATGTTGCCACTTTCGACAATGGACGTGGGGCTATAATTTGAAATTTATTAAGTGCGTTCAGATTTTAATAGAGAAAAATACAGCATAGACACCAGACTCTGCTATATACTTGTTATATTTCTGGTCAGGCTATGTCCCATTTACTTAGTGATGCCCGAAGTCTGTGACCCATGAAATCTGAGGCCCAGGGGTCACCTATGTGCTTAGGATTCTGTGGTGGGTCTCTTGATTTCCGTTTCTCTGAAATGCAGTGCTAAGAACTGACACCTTTGCCTTTGGAAAAAGCAAACCTTTGCAATAAAGAGAGTCTTGACACCATTAGACTTTTAAAGATACCACTGATATTGCTGTGTTTTATCTTAACCCTGCATGCCAATTCCCTTTATAACAAAAGTCACGGGGTTAGGAGATACTAATGAGGCTGGCAAGAAACCTGATTTTAGAAAGAGCCACTCTTTAATTTTGATTAGACTGGAAATACAAGGGGCTTCTACCTGCTCAATCTCCTAATAAAAGCCTGGTTTCATCCTAGAATATCCTTCATGATAGCAAACAAACACGGAGGTGTTCAATTTATTAGGGATTTTGTGGGTGTGGTGGGAGTGAGATGAAGAGGAGGGATGAAGGACCTGGGAATTGGGTGGACACACTCAGAACTCACCCTGACCAACATGCTGTCGGCAAAGGAGGCGGGGTTGTCCACCTCGGTGAATGGCGGCGGGCCGGTGCCCATGATTTTCCAGCGCACGTACAGCACCCCTGCTCCCCCCAAGGCCAGGAGGGTCATTCTAAAGAGGAGGCCCCCATTTCTGAGCACAGCAATGTTCTGAAAAGATACCGCAAAGCCCCTGATGTCACAGATTTTCAAATAAAAGTGTGGCCAAGCCAGGTGCAATTGTGCAGCAATTCAACCTGAACTGTGTTGACACTGGGCTTTAAAAGGCTGGCTATTTTAGAATTCAAAATTGCAAGAAGTACTTTGAAAATGGCATTTTAAATCAGCTGGTACTTGACATTTTCCATGTCAGGGCTGGAGACAAAAGTACATACTCACCTCTAATGACTTGTCCTTATGTAGTACCTTCTGGACAATTTCCAGAACATTTAATTTGCCTATCACCAAGATGTCAAAGACTGCATTTAAACCCTAAGGAAGCAAAACAAGGCAATCAATGATGCGAGAGCCTAACTCTGATTAGGGAGCAATTATACTGTACAATTTTAGTGCCAAATCTAGGTAAGGAATGTAGTGGATTAGATAATTACAGAGGACCTCTTCAGCACCTAAAAAAACCCACCATTGTTTCTATGAAATTAGCTCATAGTAATGTATCACATCAAGTTTATTATCTAGTAAATTCCTGTTAGTCATAATTTCATAGTCGTCATGTTAGAGTACTATAAAATTTGGGATAGCTAGATTTGGACTTCCTCAGAGGTCCTTCCTTCTCTTTTTTCCCCTTTACTATAAGACGGTCCCTTAGTTGATATAACAGAGCGGTTACATGGGCAGTTATTAGGCCTAAAAACATCAAGGTAGCCATCAACCTAAAAAACCCAGCCACATAAGTAATTACACCCCAGGAACCTCAAGTCCTGACTGACTTCAGCAAGTGTAGCAGAAGCAGGAATAGAACACATACAATGGTCTCTGATGGGCCACTGGAGGTCTCTCAGCTTCAGACTCCTAATTGTCTACCAACTTTCTATTCTTTTTTTTAAATCCTCACATGAGGATATGTTTTACTGATTTTAGACAGGGAAGGGGGAGAAAGGGAGGAAGGGAGAGACACACACACACACACACACAGACATCTATCGGTTGCCTCCCATATACGCCCCCAGCTGGGATTGAACCCCGAACGTAGTTATGTGCCCTGACCAGGAACTGAGCTGGCAATGTTTCAGTGCACAGGACAATGCTCCAACCAGTCTCACCGGCCAGGGCCCAGCTTTCTGTTCTCGCTGAGCACACAGTCAGACTGCATGTCCCAGCCTCCCCTGCGGTTACGTGTAGCCATGTGACTGAGTTCCAGCCTATGGAATGTGGGTAGAAGTGATAATGCTCCATCTGGGAGGTTTGGTTATAAACCTGGTCATGCTGTACCACTCGGCTTCCCCTTCCAGCTGGCTGTGATGGAGACGATGGATGGGATGATCAAGGCGACTTTAGGGAACTACAAGCTAAAGATGGCAGAGGCTCCGCCAGCCTGGGTAACTATATGGAGGACAGTCACCTCTGTCCACGACAGTNCCCAGCTGGGATTGAACCCCAAACGTAGTTATGTGCCCTGACCAGGAACTGAGCTGGCAATGTTTCAGTGCACAGGACAATGCTCCAACCAGTCTCACCGGCCAGGGCCCAGCTTTCTGTTCTCGCTGAGCACACAGTCAGACTGCATGTCCCAGCCTCCCCTGCGGTTACGTGTAGCCATGTGACTGAGTTCCAGCCTATGGAATGTGGGTAGAAGTGATAATGCTCCATCTGGGAGGTTTGGTTATAAACCTGGTCATGCTGTACCACTCGGCTTCCCCTTCCAGCTGGCTGTGATGGAGACGATGGATGGGATGATCAAGGCGACTTTAGGGAACTACAAGCTAAAGATGGCAGAGGCTCCGCCAGCCTGGGTAACTATATGGAGGACAGTCACCTCTGTCCACGACAGTTAGATGAATGATAAAAACTTCAATTCTGTGATGCCACTGGGTTTTGAGCATGTGACACTGTAGCTCCACCTATGCTAACAGCTTCCAATACCACCGTGACAGTTTCTTCCTGGCAGGTGAGGGCTGCTTTTGCAGCTATGACACCTGTAGTTACAGGCTAACGGCTAGATGAGCCTTGAATTCTATTGTCTACCCTTCAATGGACTTACCATAGGTGTTGCTGCAGCAGAAAACGTCACCTCACAGAGCCCTGTGCCCAATCTGGATAAAGTAGCCAGAATATACACAATGTGTTTGGATAACACTCCTCCAGATGACTTGGCTCTTTTTAACATGGGGCTTTGTGTCCAAGAAGTTCATAAATCATCAGAAGCCAGTGGTAATTTGTAGTTTTCAGAGCGGGGATGACATTCCTACTTAACCCTCTCCAGAAATGCTGGGAGCCACTAATTATCCAAAAACACGGGCCAGCGCTGGGTTAATCATTTCAAAGAATCCTGATTTTATTCACCCATGCGATACTTGATTTTAGTAGGTCACAGAAGACCATTTCTGCCTGGCTGCCAACTGTTTTCTAGAAGGCAGAAGCTCCCTGTTGAGCTGTTGCCATCACTGTCTTTTTATACCAATTGTTTTTCTGCCTGAGAGCTGTAGGACAGTCACCAAGGGGTGATGGGGTCGTGCCATCATGAGGACTGAGCCAAACACAAGTTTCCCTCCCTCCTCCTTCCCATTTAATCAAATTTTTGAAAACAGCTAAATTATACCATATCTTTCTTCACATAAATTTCAGTGTTAATGGGAATCACCATGGGACCTTGTTAAATAGAGATTCTGATTCAGCAGCCATGGGGTGGTGTCTGAAACCCTAAATTTCTAATAAGTACCCAGGTGATGCTGATGCTACTGGTCCCCAAACTATATTTTGAGGAGCAAGGGTTCAGAGCAGTGGTTCTCAAGAAGATGATTTTGTCCCTCGGGGAATGCTTGGCAATATCATCACAACAGAGAGAGTCCTCTGGCATCTAGTGAGTGGAGGCCAGGGATGCTGCTACTAAACATCCTACAGAGCACAGGACAGCCCTCCATAAGAAAAGAGAGACAGCCCTAAATGTTAATAGCAAAGTTGAGAAACTCTGGTTTGGAGCAAACTTTTATAGAATAACTTGTGAAATTCAAGGATCTTCGCACAGTAATTCTTTTTACACCATCTTTTAGCTAGCTAACTTCAACATTATAGATCAAGTCCAATGAAACCACTGATCTTTGCCTTCACTTGTGTCAAACCCCAAATAGCTCTGGCTGCCCTTTCTTTCCCAAGGTATTCCTACATGGGCCATTCACATCCCGAACATCTTTGTTTTCCATTTCTCTACTTCTGCTCACATCTCTAATTTCTAGATTTCCTTCTAATAATGTAAGGCAGAAAATTGGCAAGAACAGAGAAAAAAGGAGAGAGGATTTCAATGCCTCTCCCTTCCTGGGGCTTCAATTCAGATCAGACATAGGAGGTGTGTGCCTCTCCTCTTCAAAGGCCTCTCTTCTCCTCTTTCACATTTCCAGTTGAAGCCAAGTATAACAAGACATACACTCAATAGTTGTTTAATCAGGAACAGAAGCATTAATGGGGCCAGTCCACTGTTGTATTCAGGACTGCTGAAATATGAGAGCATCCAAGAAAACTCAAACCATTCTTTCATCTTTTTCTACGGGACCTCTCCACGAGAACTAATCACCACTCTTTAAGAACTTCACGCTCCCCATTTCCACCAGTTGCTAGTGATCATCAGTTGAGACAGTCAATTCCTATATGAAACACCAGCATTGTGAGAGCACAACTAATTGGTCCAGAAATGACTATAACTGTAGGCCAGCAATGAGGTGCAAGAGAGGAGGTCACACAGGCAGGGCCAGCTCAATCTGTCTCTGCAGGAGGGGAAAGGGTACATTCAGAGTAGGCCCTGATTGTGTCTCAGGTCTTACCAGCACAGTGATCCCTTGCTCTTTGCACAGCATGGCCACAGCTCCCAGAAGGATACTCAGCAACACCCAGAATGTAGAATGTGTTCCTTCCTTGTTACCTGCCAATTAAGAGAAATGACAATCATAAAAGTCACACAACATAGCTCAGTCTTGTTAGCACCAGGAACTAAAATTCTAAGCATGCACACTAAATAGCCACAATTTAAAGCCAGTTAGGGCCTGGCCAGTGTGGCTCAGTGGTTGAGCATTGACCTATGATCTAGGAGATCGAGGTTTGATTCCCAGTCAGGGCACATGCCCAGGTTGTGGTCTCTATCCCCAGTGGGGGGTGCGCAGGAGGTAGCCAATCAATGACTCTCTCATCACTGATGTTTCTATCTCCCTCTCCCTTCCTCTCTCTGAAATCAATAAAGATATATTTTAAAAACAACACTACCAGTTTGGTCTTCTGACAGTATTTCTCTGTGGTTGAGTGTCAGACCCCTGCATTTCTGTTAGACAACACCCTCTAAAAGGTACACACGTCGCACCTCAAGGCTTACCCTAGCAGGCACCAAGCCTTTGGGAGGCATTATAACAAAGCTCTGGCCACAGACACATCTCATCTCACAGTCCCCAGGTGGCAAGCTCCTTCTTCCCAACCTGCCAATCACATAATGGCCATTCTGACAAGTTATGTTTAGAACTCTCACTGAGAGCATAAGCACTGTATCTGGTTGTACAAAGACCTCAGCAGTTACTGCTGCTGTCACAAGGATAGGAGCGATGGCAATGCCTGAGCAGTTCTGAGAGTCCCTACTGCTCCTGGGATAGAAGTCTGAGCTCTTTGAGCCTTAGGCGGTGTAGAATGGGTCTGCTCTGCTCCCAGTGTGGAATGGCTCTGACCTGTGAAGGTGCAGGACCACTGACCGAGGGCTGGCATCCACCTAGCACCTGGGGCAGGTGAAGGCACAGGCCAGCATGGGAACTCAAGCATCCACAGGAAGACAAAACATCACAGGAATGTGAATGCTGTAGTAAGAAGCCTGAGTGGGGCTGAGCTGGAGTAATAAGCCATGCTCCCTAACCTGCCTTCTGAGAAGGGAGGGTTTAGCTATACACTGGTGGGTGGGAGGTATCTGCAATTTGGGGGCCAGAGCTGACCTGCTTGGGCAGGGAGGAAAGGAAAAAGGTGGTGCTCATCTCTGCTCTTCTTTTGAGAGGCCCTCACCTCCTCATCTAGTTAGGCAGTGAGCAAACATCTAAAAAGACACACCTTTGAAGTGGGGCAAAGTCAACCTGCCTGGAAGACAAAATCATTAGCTTGCCCGGGGTGCCTATGAATCTTGGTTCGGTTTTGCTTAAAACCAAGGCCCCTGCTCTAAATTCCAGCTCTGCATCTACTATGTGACCCTGAGCAAGTTACTTACACTCACCATCTCAGTGACATCATCTATAAAATTCGGGCAACATCAACTGTATAATTAACTATATATTCCTCATTTGAGAGGGAAAAATTATATACAAGTATCTGAACATCTGTGTTAACAATTAAATAAATATGCTTGTAAATGCAAAACATCTCTCTGGAAAACAGAAGAAACCAACTATATTAGTTTCTGAACAGTTTTAAGTAGGAAAATTTGGGTAGGGGAGGAAGTCTTACTTTTCATTGTATAACCTTTAAAATTTTCATAACTATGTGCATGCGTTAAAAACCACACATTTAACAAAATCACTTGGTATGCTGCTGGGACCACAGGAAGCATTCAATAAATGTTTGTTGCAGATGAATCGGCAAAACTGGCCCAGCTTCCAAGGAGATGGATTTCCAGTGGGGTTTTGAAGCAGTGGTCAAGGCAGTGGCTGCTCAGTCACCTTGTCAGAAAAATGCACCAAGCTCATCATGCACTGAAAAGAAACACTCTGGCTCTCATTAAATTGCTTGATCAGGAAACCAACAATTCAGTGTTTGGGGAGAGAGGGAAGGTGAGAAGGAGAAAAGAGAGGGAGGAAGAGGGGAGAGGG